TATATATATATATATATTCTATTCTTCAAAAATCAAAACCCTTTCCACCTCATCTACACTCAAATGCCTTATCCCATTCTGCTGCAACCATCTTTCCCCTCCTTCAACTTGTTTCTCCTCCATTTTCAATAACTTCAACCCCTCACTCAATTTCCCAAAAAACCCTTGAGGCGTCAAACACCGATCTTTAAAAACCCCAAACAAAACCATCAAATCATTCCCAAGCCTCTCTACACCACCATCGGAAAACTTCACATAGCTCATAAAAACACCATTAAAAACAAGCAAATCTATCGCACTCACCACCTGCCTCCACACTCTAAAAATCCAACTTATTTAAATTCATTTCCAATATCGACATTTTCGCCTTCAATAATCAAGGGCAACAATAAAAGATCTGGACACCCCCCAACCCTCTTGGGTTTTTTTTTCGATCCATTGTTTTTTTATTTTTTTATATATTCGCGACTACACGCATCAAAACCCCGAAAAACAACTTTTGATAGCTTCTCACCCATTCGATTGTAAATTCCTCTAATTTACGTATTTCCTCCTCATCAAATATACCACCATCCGATCCCATTTCAATGAAAAAAAACTTCGTCATGCCATTCTTTTAAAAACAAATTAAAAAATAACGAGATTCATTTATACAACTTTGTTACTTTGGTCAAAGCGGTCACCCTTCTGCTTCTTGACATTTCACAGTTAAAAAATCCAAAAACTTGTGTATAATCGGTGCACCTGCTAACCTAATAAACCTTGCTCTCATTGCGACACCTGGCAGTGATCTGCACCTCTCGATTATAGACGATATGTGCCTCAAAAAAGCACTTGTGATTGCAGGTGAACTAAAATGTTGACTGATTCTGTATTTCTCACTTCAAATACAGGTGTCAGTTTGTCAATGGCATCACTGAGCTCCATTTCAGCCCATAAATCAAGCCACTCAGGTCAATGTCGATCACAGAACACAGATAGACAAGAAATCTTTTGCATGTTCACATCTTTCTCTAACATGATTCCCGATTGTGCTACAAGAGCTTTGATTTTTTTTTTATTATCGAAAGAAATCATTAAATCGATAAAATGTAACCAAGATAATCGATTTTCGCCGGTAATACTTTGATTTTCTATATAAATTGGGAAAATCTACTTTG